GTTCAGCTTCACAGCAACCACAAGTTACCTCTGTACAGCAAGTGGACGGACACACAAGAGATATATGACCTAGAAGAATGTTTGAACAAAAACAATGAAAAACATTTTTTCATGTATAGCTACAGATATGTATATATAGCCGTCTAAAAACCTGCAGGAGGGTCGGCTATGAACAGATTCTAACCTGATGGTAATGAGTGAGTCTTTGAAAACTCAGAGTGATTCATAGCTGACGTTCTATCTTTCTCCCACTAAACAACTGGTGGACTCAAACAGTGTGCCTTTGGGTGCAACAGGTAACATATAGGCCTCCAGAACTCCATTATTGAAGTAAATCTGAGGTAATGTTATACTTAAAATGGTATACAGGACAGGAAAGAAATGCAGATATTTTAATAACAAGTATCAGCTACATAAGACATTTCTTTTACTACTCATTTTGGATATTTAAATTAATTCAAGATAGAGCTGTGGATTATTTCTAATATTACCTCGAGAGATTTTTTTTACTCACCTGAATAATCTTCTGTCCACCATATATCATCATAGAAATGAATGTGTTCATTTAAGGTTGACCTGGGTGAAAAGGCAAAAGCCAGAGCATGTGGAGGTACGGCAAAAGCTTCCTGGTCTTTATGGTGTAACAGGGGGGAAGAAATTGAATTGAAAAAATGAGAAATTAGAATTTCTTTTTGGTATTTTCTAACAAAATAATATCTGCTAAACGTTTATCTATATTTTAAAAATTATTTTAATTTTACTTATTTCTCTACCTCTATGCATAAACGAGATCATTATATCAGCCTCCCCATCATAAAGCCTGGTGAATGTGAGAGGAGTCACCGCCTCCCAAAGTTTCAGAGCTCTCTCAACTGCAGAATCAACGGCATAACTTGACAGCTTTGGTGTGTAGTTCATAATTCTGTAACAGGAAAAGAGCAGACATGTTCTTCAGTGACAATGACTTTAAATGTTTTCACTGTATGTAAGGATGTCTGTGGAGCCATTACCTGTAAGTAAGAGTAGATTTGCTCCACTTCCGTTGATCAGGAAATGTAGAGAAGAAGTAACCAATAGGGGGGACTCCACAAATGGGTGTAAGCGTCACATTTTGGATGTCAGATTCCCGCTTCTGCATCACCTTCAGCCTAAGGGACCTCTGCATTTCTTGGATATTTTTAACCACAGCACTGCTGTCATTTCCCCTCACAAATTGTTTCATATACTTTCCATGATTATAGTAATTTTTAAGGTATTTCTAATAGAATAAAAAAACATAGATTTCAAGTTAATTTTTGTAATTGTTTAGAATTGCTCCAATTTCATATTGTGCTTTGATAATTCTCTACTTGAAGCAAAAGTAAATAGCACAAGTAATCTGATATTTAATTGAGACTTCTGTTTTTATTAATGCATCTTGGTGGTGGTGTGATTGCTGCTGTTATGTTGTTGTTGTTAAGTGTCTTCGAGTTGTAGACTGTTCATAGTGATGTTATGAACGAAAGACCTGAACACTTGTATAACTTTCATCGTTTCTCCAAGTTCATAGAGGCAAGCTATTTCAGAAGAGGATGTCACTCCTGCTTCCAAGCTTGTTATAATTGGGGAGCTCCGCGGAACACTGTCTACTGTGATTGCTGTTAGATGACTTTATAATCACCTTGAGAAATTATATCTTCTTCCTCTGTTTTTTTTCCATTCTTCTCTGTTAAGATGAAAACATTTTCTGCTTCTATACTTAAATAGTATCTGTTTGGTTTTGTTTTTTTTTTTTAGGTTATCCCAACAAAAGAATTTCTAATCTCAAACCACTCCACTTTGTGTTGGAAAATCAAATGAACACATTTACATCTCCCCTTAAAATGGTCATAGTTATCATATTTTATATCATTAATTACCTGGACAAAGTCGATGTTTGGTTCTTCTATCACTGTCTTGTCCAGTGGATAAGCCAATGAAACTGGTAGACATAATAGGACAATGATGATAAAATTCTTCATTCTCATTGTTTTCACTAAAAGAAGTCACCTTTTCTCTCTATGGCCTTCTCCTCTCCACTTTCTAGTGACAGGACTTATATAGAATGTCAATGCTTACATCATGATGTGTGTTTGGTGAATCATGCTTGAGAATGTCTGTATGCAGCATTTTTCTTTTGTATCTGAATGACCAAGAATATTGACCTAAACTCAGTGTGAAAATGATATAAACTTCATCAGTAATTTACCTTGACTTTTTCAGTTTTCACAAGAGAATATCTAGGAAATTATTTTCATATTTATGCAAAGGATAAGTTATGTTTGTTCGTTTATTGTGAGGAAGTAGACAAGTCTGGCAAAAGGGCAAAATGTCAAGTCTTCCAGAATAGACCAGAAAAGGAGAGTTAGAAATAGAATGTGTCCTCCGGCAACAACAGCCTCCTTTGTCCTGAGATCAGAACTCCCTGGGGCCCAGCTACCAATACTGAACATTTTGATCCAAGATTCTAAAGAAGTGTCTTGATTTAAAAAGTGAAAATGCAGGAAATAATTTCAAATTTTCATGGACTCTTAAGATTTTCTGACATCATGGAGTGTGAACAAAATTGACTGTATTTGAAATATGTACTTTCAAGACTGAACAGGAGTAGGCAGGAATATTCCCCTTAACACCATTCATTACCTCCACACCACTTAAGTTGACTGGTTAGAATGTGGTCTTCAGGAATTTGAAGGCTGTTCTTCAGTTACTTCCTTTTAAAAAAATTATTTTAATGAAAGTTTACAGAGACTTTGGATTTCCATTCATTGATGCATAATTCCCTCCCTATCCACCCTTACTCCCAGATAGCTTTTGTCTTTGAAAATTAAAAACACACACACACACACACACACACACACACACAACAAAAACAAAACAAAAAACTTCTTTCATTGTAATACAATCCTCCCCCTTCCCCTGCAGTCCACTCTACTATGTAGCTTTCATTCTGGACTTTTGTCATGACAATAACTAGTCATATATTCCTCCTAAACAGTTCTCTCCCTCCCTCATCTGTTTCAATGCAATATACGTTACTTATCCCTTCTTGATTTCTCCCTAACTCCGATGTCAGATCTCCTTTACAATAGTGACACTATGCAATAATTGCCCTGTTGTGACTGAGATATTTCACTCAGCATAATTTCCTCCATGGTCACCCATTTTGTATAATATTTAATGAGTTCTTTGTTTTTCAATGCTGCAGAATATTCCATTATTTGAATAGAGCAAAGTTTCTCTAGCCATTTGTTTGTTGATGGGCACTTGAATTGTTTCCAACTCCTTGCTACTGTGAACAAAGCCACAATAAACATGGATGTAAGTGTATCTTCTTGGTTGGAAGTTATGCTTTGTTTAGAGTATATTCCCAGTAGTGGAATTGCTGGGTCAAATGGTATTTCTATTTCCAACTTTTTGAGAAAGCGTCATTCTGCCTTTTATTGTGGTTGCACCATTTTACACTGCTACCAACAGTGAATAAAGGTTCCAGTTTTTCCACAACCTTGTCAGCATTTGCTGTTCTGTTAAATTTTGCTACTCTCTTTTTTTTTTATTATTAATTTTAATGAATGTTTACAGATTTTGGACTTCCATTCATTCATTGTTGCACTTTTCTCCCTGCCCACCCCTCCACCCCAGTTCACTGCTTTCTTTGAAAAGTAGAAGAAATAGTATTTCACTGCTATACAATCCCCTCTCCCCTCGACTGCACTCCATTATGCAACCTTTGTTCTGGATTCTTGTCGTAACCATAATACTCAATCATATATCATTTTTAAACTGTTCTCTCCCTCATCTGTTTTAATGCAGTATACATAATTTATTCAATTTTTCTCAGTCTCACTGCAACCCTGATGTCAGTACCATTCTACAATGGGGGCACTATGCAGTATTTGCCTTTTTGTAACTGAGATATTTCACTCAGCATAATGCCTTCCAGGGTCACCCATTTTGAATAATATTGCATGAGTTCCTTGTTTTTCAATGCAGCATAGGATTCCATTGTGTGAATATACCAGTGCTTCTCTATCCAGTCATTTGTTGATGGGCGCTTCGGTCGTTTCCAACTTCTTGCTATTGTGAACAAAGCTGCAATGGGGTGAGATGGTATCTCATAGTTGTTTTAATTTGCATCTCTCTGAGAGCTAGGGATTTGGAACATTTCTTCATGTATTTGCCCTCTGAATGTCTTCTTTGGTGAAGTGTCTGTCTATATCCTGTGCCCATTTTTCAATTGGATTTTTTTCTCTTTTATCTTGTTTGGTGCTAGAGTATTTTATAAATTCTAGATATAAGTCCCTTATCTCACATGTCATTACCACATATTTTTCCCAGCCTGTGGCTTCTCTTTTTACCCTGTTGGAGAAGTTTTTGGATGTGCATAGGGATTTGAGTCTTAGAAGGTCTCATTCATCTATTTTATCCTCTCCTGGTTGTAGAGTTTTCAGGATTCTTGGAAGACTGTTTATGTTGTGGAATAGGTCTTCTCGTATTCTTCCAAGCTTTTCTTTAATGAAGTTTCTAATCCTTGGTTTTAGTCCTAGACCATTGATCCATTTTGATTTGTTTTTTGTGTATGGAGTGAGGTGTGGATCTTGCTTGAGTTTTCTGCAGATAGTTTTCTAATTTTACCAACACCATTTGCTAAAATGCCTGTCATTTCCCCACCTACTTTATGTCATCTCCTTGTCAAAAATCAGTTGACCATAGGTGGATGGGCTCATTTCTGGGTTCTCAATTCTATTCCATTGATCTCTGTGTCTGTCATTGTACCATGTTTTCTTGAGCACCACCGCAGTGTAGTAAGATTAGAAACCAGGAAGTGAGATTTCTTCTACCTTGTTTTTCTTTTTAAGGAGTGCTTTGCTACTTTGGGGCCTCTTTCCATTCCAAATGAACTTTCCATTATGTTGAAGAATGGAATTGGTATTTGTATTGGGATTGCACTGAAAGTGTAAATTGCATTTGGTAGTGTTTCCATTTTCACAATATTGAGTCTTCCTATCCATGAGCAAGGGATATTCTTTCATTACTCCAGGCCTCTTTTTGTTTCTTGTAGTAATGCTTTGTAATTTTCTTTCAATAGATTCTTTGTGCTTATGGTTAGATTTATTCCCAAATATTTAATCTTGTGATTAGCTATTGTGAAGGGGATTGCTTTTCTTAGCTCCAGCTCTGTATTCTCTTTGTCACTATAGAGAAATACAATTGATTTTTGTATGTTTATCTTGTATCCTGCTACTTTGCTGAATTGGTCAACTATGTCCAGTAGTTTTCTTGCTGAGTCTTTTGGGTTTTCTAAGTATACCATGTATTTCATTGATTATGCAAAGGTGTTTGACTGTGTGGATCATAACAAACTGAGGAGAATGGGAATCCCAGAACACTTGATTGTGCTAATGAGAAACCTATACTTGGACCAAGAGGCAGTCGTCAGAACAGGGCCAGGAAACACTGCATGGTTCAAAATTGAGAAAGGTTTATGACAGCTGTGTGTCCTATTTCCATACCTTTTCAACCTGTATGCAGAACAGATTATCCGGGAGGCTGGGCTCTATGAGGAGAAGTGTGGCGTCAGGATTGGTGGAAGATCTATTAACAAT